CACACACACACACACACACACACACACACACACACAGCATCCCCCACCCCCGCCCTTGGCTGGTGCCCATGACTGCTGAGCAGCTGCTCCCGGTATTTCCTCCCAGCCCAGCTATGGAGCTGTCCTGTGGCTCACCCCACCCTTTGCTGGTCAAGGAGAAGTACAGTGTCCAGCTGAGCTGTCTGGAGCCCAGCCTCTGGAGCAGACCACCTCCACCCATCAGGGGCCAGCTGGAAGAGGTCAGCTGAGGGCTCAGGCTGGCCCACCTCACTGTACCTTCAGAGCAGTGGTTCATAATGCTCTGGGCCACATCTGGAGATATTTTTGGAAGGTAGAGGCCTGAAAGCTGCTGAGTCCCTATAAGTCACAGGATGCCCCGCCACAGTCAGCCCCAAATGTCAGATTTCTTTTCCACATGTCACACCCAGCTGGGCCCACCCAACCCCACTGGGCTCCACCCTGCCCTTGAAGGGGCCTGGGGCGCAGAGCTGTCCTGCCTGCAGCCTGAAAGCCTTTCTGCCTCTGCCACAGCCCCTACTGACAATTTTGTGGGTTTTATTTTTATCTCTTGTTCCAGCTCACTAGGGCTGTTCCCTCTTCCCTGTGGGGCCTCTCCTTGCCACAGCCTTGTGGGTTGTGCGCCTCTTCACAGTTGGGGAGGCTCTCACTAGCCCTCACCAGCTACCTCTGGCAGTGGCCAGTGTGGGTGGGGGGTCTTGGGCCCATGGCTGGGAGTGGCAGACTCATTAGGGGCCAGTGCTGAGCCCAGCCCTCCAGGCCCTCAGACCCCTGTCTGGTGGGTGTTCCCGGCCTCTCTGAGGCACTGCTGGCTCGAGCTCTTGAGTGGGAGGGGATGGGGCCAGGGGGTGCGGAGCGAGGCCCACAGCTCCAAGCAGCACCCAGTACTCTGGTGTGGAGCCGGGCCCAGGAGGAAGATACCAACTCCCCTGGGCAGCCATGGCCTGTCAAGGACCCCCAGAAAAGCACTGGAACTGCAGTGGGTGGAAGAAGGGTGTCCCTAGGCCTGGTACTGGAGACATCTGTCCACCTGAGCTGTGGCCCCCGCCCCTCTGCTATGGCAGAACTGCACAGCCCAGTGTTGGGGGCCCTGGTGTCTGGTGTGGGGACCCTGAGCTAGGTCCCTTTGGGGCTGGAGCAGGGGCAGAGGTGGCCCCCACTGTTCCTGTGGCCCTGGCTCCAGCTTCCCATTGTGCTGAGTGCCTGCCAGGTGAGGGGTGGCCAGGCCACCTGTAGGAAGAACCTGGTGGTTGAGGCTGCCTTTTGGGGAAGGGTCCTGGTGCCTACCTTGGCCTCACTGTAGGGAACAGGGAAAGGGGACGTTGCTAGAACCTCTGCAGTAAGTCCTAGTCTCTGAGCCATGACAGCACAAGGTGAATTAATTAATCAGACTTGACAGAAAAATGAGGTTTAGAGAAGCTGAGCTTTGGGCCTGACCAGTGCTGCTCTGGGCAGCAAAGCTGAAAAGACCCTGAGCCGGGCTGGGGATGTAGCTCAGTGGTCCCACCACCTGCCTCGAAAGCACAAGGACCCGAGTTCGATCCCCAGTACAAAAAAAAAAAAAAAAGACCCTGAGCTTGCCACACCTTTATTCGGTATGTTAGGAGTAGCAAGTATAACAGGTGACTCAGGGCAGCAGAGGCGATAATCCTGGAACCATAAGGAACGATGTAAATGAAGGTTTGTTCCCCCAGATATCTTCAGCTGAGGTGGTCCTGCCCTGGAGCATCGCAGCATCACGGGACCGTTGAGGTCTTAGCTGTGACCAGAGGCAAAATGGAGTTGTGTCTGGATGTGCCATAGTGGGCCTGTAGGCGGGAGAACTAGACCTAATCATAATTTTAATTGTGAAATGATTTTTCCCCCAAATCACGAACTGCTCCCGACACTTCACCGGTTAGCTCTTGTTCCCCAGAGGTCGTCCTCCTCATCAGCCCTCTCCGTGCTGTCAGGGCCACCCAGCGCTGTCCATCAGCAGAATCCCCTTCCTTGGTGTCTTCTTTCTCAGGCACATTCCATGGCAGTGTGGGTGACAGCGGAGGTCAGGAGTTCTACCAGAATGCATCCCCTCTGCCTCGGGCGTGGTGCCAAGCTCCACCCAGGAATCATTTCCTTTTGCATCAGATCTGTGCTCAGCTCTGGTTTATAGGGGAGCCCCCCAAACACAAGACTGGCTGAGATTTGTTTCACCGCAAAACTTGATTTTTTAAAATTGTGTTTCTATAAAACTTAAGCCTGAGGGCCAGGGATTTAGCTCAGCAGTGCCATGCCTGCCTCACAAGTGCAAGGTCCTGAGTTCGATCCCCGGTACTGAAAAAATAAAATATAAAAGTTATGCCTGTACATAGCTAAATAGTTTAATACCTAAACAAGATTTAAGAAAAAGTCTCAGCGTGTGTGGTGGTGCAAACCTGTAATCCCAGCACTCTGGAGGCTGAGCCAGAAGGATCGCCGAAAATTGGATGCCAGTCTGGGATACATGGTGAGACCCTGTCTAAGAGAAAAAGTCGCTCTGCTCCTTCCCCTCAGAACCTTTTGCAGAGGACCTTCAGCTCTTCAGTGATCCTTTTGGTACTGACATGTTTTGTTGATGGCTTTCAAATTATTTTTGGACCCAGAGCCAGAACAAAAAATTGCATTCTTTACATTGCTACTAGTGCAACAGAAACAAAATTGTATGAAACAGTGCCCTCCTGAGCACCACCAACTCAGGTATTTTCTACTCCAGTCCATTCATTTAAAAGTGCTATTCAGGGCTGGGGATTTAGCTCAGTGGCGCCACGCCTGCCTTGAAAGTGCATGTCCTGAGTTTGAGTCCAGGTACGGCAAAAAAAAAGCTATTCATGTCAGGCGTGATGGTTCCCACCTGTAATTCAGCACTCGGAAGGCTGAGGCAGGAGGCCAGCTGTGAGTTCCAGGCCAGCCTGGGCTACATAGTGAGTTCAATGCCATCCTGAACTACCTAGCAAGACCCTGTAAAAATAAGTAAATAAATAAATATGCTATTCAGGATCCATCAGGCTGGGTTCATTTGAGACTTTGCGCTTTAGTTTCTCTGACAATAGCTATCTTCATCGTCTGCTTGTAGTTGAGAATGTGAGCTGCAGATCACTAGCTAGAAGTGTCCAAGACACCTAGAAGTGGTCTAC